TTGATTCTTTTAGTATGGGTACAATTAATGGGACGATAAGTTATAAATCTTTTACAATTCCCAATATATTGAACTAGATTACGAAACAAAGCAGTCATTGCTAATTGAGACTTGATGCAACTTTAAATTGAATTTTAAAGGATCAAAGAAGTATAAATATTTATTCGACTATAATCAGACATGATTGAACTTATGATTGGAAAAAAAATATTTGGCAAAATTTTGGCTCAGCTAATATCCAATATCAGTTAATATCCAACTGCATTTTGTCATAACGTCAATCGTCATTTAAACTGAATACTTACCTCCTCTCTTCGGATATAATTTATGATGAATGACTTTCCAGGTGAAGCCAGGTACAAAGAAAAGAAAGTAGAATCAGCGTAGCCTTGAAGAAGAAAAGAAGATTTTGTGTTGAAATGGTTAATGGGGGAACGGCAGAGACATAACCCATTGAATCTAGTGAAGGAGAGAAGAAGAATTTTTATTAATATTGAAATAAATTGAAAATCAAGGACAACTATTTTAATTACCTGTCGGTCTCATTTCGCCTACCTGTTTGACTATTGTTGATATTATTTTTATTTAATTTATATAAAATGTAATTTTCAAATTTTAATCATCAAAGGATGGCATATTATTTTATTAAGCTAATTGTTTGCTTTAGACTTTTGTCAACGTGGTCGCAGTCGCAGCAATTCTTCGCCTTGGGGTTTCATTTCATCTATTTGGCTTTTCGCTTCAATGAATCAATGAATCAATGAATTTTAGTAATTTAATTTACGCTACATAATTTGTAATTTCAATTTATACTCGATTTCCGACCTGATTCCCTCTCATTGTGCTTTTCCCATTTTCATTTTCATTCCCATTGCCACTTTAACTATATTAAGGTAAAATTGTGAAATTGATTAAAGTGCAGCCCACTGCCTACAAACTGCTTCGTTTCTCGGTAGATTTATGAGTTGATCTCGAGAAAGAGGAACCCTTTGACTTAGCCGCTGCCTAAGCAACTGCCGAATCCAACTCCTGTTTATGCGCTTATTTATTATTTCACTTTTATATGGGCTGAGCGCTTCTCGGGCTGTGGTTTGCCAGCGATTTGGGTTTCATTCTTCGGGCTTCATTTTTATGGCAATTTGACGCCATTTTATTGTCACACCGCAGCGTTGGCCACTTTAGAGTTGTCTCCGGCAGTCATAAATTCCGCCACGTTGGCCATTTCGTGGCATGCCGAGACATTAATTCGCTGCCAATGTCCGTGTGGCTGTTGTGGCCCCTATACCATTGTTTATGTTGCTGCTGCTCCTGCTGCTGCTGCTCCTGCTGCTGCTGTTGCTGTTCCTGTTGCTGCCGCTTACAGGTCTTACGCTTCCGCTAGGCGAGCGAACATAATTTATTTGCACTCGTTTTTGCTGTTCAAGAAACTTCATATTTTGTCGGTATTTCTAGCTGATTGGAAATCTACCACACACACACACACACAATCACACATACATACACAGTCACTTCTGTGCATGCTTTTTCAATTTCATGCGAGAACAACAACAACAACAAGTAAGCCAACAAGAAGTGCAGCCAAAGTTATGGTAGGAAAATCAACACCTTAAGAGTTGCGTTATCCAGCGGCAAAGGAGCAACATTTCAGTGTGGTATGGGTATGTGTGTGTGTGTGTTGTTTCATGGGTGTGTGAAGGACGCGGTAAGCAGTAAAATGCCAAACGCAAATGTCGCCAATATCCCAATGGCAATCAATGAAAATTTATAGAAAATTGCGCACAAATAAAATTTTACGTTTGTTTGCTTTTTTCATTTACGACGGCAGCACGCTTTTTTCCCTTTCTTCCGCTCTCTCACTCTCTCGCTCTCTCTCTCTCTCTCTCTCTCTCTCCCTCATCTATCTCGCTTTGGTAGCTTAGCCCGTTTTGTTGGCTTATTGAAATGCATTTTCTTGACTGTTGCTCGTCATTGCATTGTTCTTTTTGTTTTGTTTTTCGCTTTGCTTGTGGCCGCAGCAAATCGGTTTGCTTGGCTGCAATTGTTCTAGTTCTGTTTGTCGTCCAAACAGATGCGGCTGCAGCCACGCCTCCCTCGCCCCCACGCCCAGCACTTGTGGCTGTGCAGCACAGCATGAGGCGAGCATCTCAAAGCTGTTAATGCTTACGATAGTCGTTTACCATTTCGGTTAATTGAAACATACGAGAGCAGCCCCGCGGCAACGATGCGAGAGAATATTCTCTATACACACAGCATTGACCATGTCCTGTCGCCTGCCAAGTGCCAAAAGTACAAATTCCTTCATATTTTCAAATGCTTTTTGCTGGCCACTGTTTTTAAATTTTCAGCTCAAAGCAAAGTTGGGAAGCCCTTGGCGTTGCTTTCACTTTGAAGCACAGTTGATGAAGAATAAAGATTTGCTTATTAAGTATTTTTAATTCAATCATCTACCTTCAGTAGTATTGGTTAGCTTTATGCAAACTCGACTGCAAATGTGACACGAATATGCTTTCTCTCTCTCTCTCTCTCTCTCTTACATCTCATTTAGTGCACAAAGTACACAAATAAACAAAGCTTTAGTTCGTGCTTCCTGCTTTTTGTGCAGCACTTTTCGAAATGCAGTGTAAAAAGTAACTTTGTTGAACTATGTGAAACTTGAACCGTTGCAATCGCTGTGAGCAGCTGCGCTTATCTAGAGCCAAAAAAAAAAAAGCCTTATGTATTTCCAGAGTACGTTTAAATAAGCCGAAACAATTAAGAGAGACGGATTGTTAGGTGTATGTCTTAAGCACGCTGTTTCCTTAAGAGGTTCTTTTAAGAATTCTCGTCAGATGGAGCACTCCAAGTGAACTTTTCATTAGCTAAATAACATTTATCACTCTAGCTTAAAAAAATACAGGAAAGGGTTATTCAAGTCTAACTAACAAAATAATAGTATTTAAAATATATGTTTCTGTGTTTTACACATCAATCGATAAGAAGAATTTCACCATAATCGATAAGAATGCAATTATTATTTGTAATATTTTTTAAAAAGTTCTACATCTGGATTTATGTTTTACGTGTTGCTAGAGTATGATTGGCCCACAAAGTGTTTTTACACTCTTTTTGTCTTACATTTAAAGTTGAGTTTGATTGAAGTACTTTACGCTTTGAGCATACTGATGTGGGTTGAGAATGATGTGGGTTAAGAGGGTTAAGCTGAAATGAAACATATAGATGAAAAGGTTATAGAAATGTACAGCGTGATCCGGAGGTCTGATCTATATATTAGCTGATCAAATTGCACAGTCGCAATATCTATAGAATCTCTTAATAGACATACGACACCTAGCTAATTGTTATAATATGTGTACTTAGAGTACTGCAGTAAAAGAGAGAAACCTTATTAAGAGAAAGAATTATTTAAAAGACATATTTAAAAAAAAAATATTAATTACATAATAATAACGGGATCAGCATTTGCGGTAGCTTGCTTCAACTTGAATATTTGCATTAATAACATTCCCAGGAGCAGGCCCTTGCTTGCTTTAGGTGCCTGTGCGTGTGTATGTGTGTTGGTATATGTATAGGTGTTTGTATGAGCATTAAGCAATTATGAAACTTACACCGCCTTCTTGCTCTTATCGTGTATATTTTTATGGGTAACAAGTTTTGTGGGCCAGGCTGTATAATTAGCTTAAGCTTAAAGTTTTCAGCAAGGCCGTTGAGAAACATGTACACAACAACAACAAAATCAACAACAACAATACCAATACCAACAACATCTGCATAAACAAACAAATTTTGTAAAAGTTTGTATATAAATATATATTTTTTTGGCGTACGCTAATTAATACAATTAAAAATTAAATAACTTTCAACTTAATTCCCGACGCTTCATTTACCCGAGCTGAGTGTTGAGGCCGTTTTACTCAGCTCCCCGGGGACTGTTGGTGCAGTCGGTATTGCTGTTGTTGTTGGTTACATGTTATTGCCCTGTGCGTATCGGCCTACACCACAACTGCTAATTGTGGGCATATTTGCTTTGGTCCAGGCTCAAAGCAGTCTGCTCCACCCGACCACAGAGAGCACGAGCAGACGTAGGAGCAGAGGGCACAAGCCAATCCTTAAGTCAAGCAGCATAGCCAAGCGTCGAAACCAACGCCACTTTATGCACAAACGAGACCCCAAAGTGCCTTCAACCAGCCCCCGCCGATGCCACCGCAGAATGAAGATGTGTGCAACAAAAACACAAATATTGCATATCAATAATAACTCTTTCTCTCCCAGCCTGGGCTGTGTGTGGGCGTATGTGTATTTACATGCGTCCATATTGGTGTGTGTGTGTGTGTGCAGGATATCTACATTTTTGGGTGGGCGAACAAATTTTCCACATCATTAGATGGGAAAGCACTCGAGTGAGCTATCCGGGGAGTTATTTTGCTTGTTTCCTTGGCTTTTCTTGGCTTTCGCTGGCTTTAAGCAAACGTTCTACGCAGCAACTGTTTTTTTTTTCTTCTGTTTTTTCGGTTACTGCTGCGAGTGCCATTCAAACTCATCACTCGCCATATTCATCAACTTGATTTCTGTTTGTGCCATGTGTCTTACGCTCTTGCTCTATCGCTTCCTCGCTCCCTCGCACAGTCGCTCTCCCTCTCTCCTGCTCTCAGGCAGAGGACGCCTTTAACTCACAAAAGCCCCAAGCCGCGTATTGGAGGGCAATGCCAATCCCAAATAAGTTGTACACGTTGAGTGGACAAAAGCTGCCCAGAAGCCGGCTGAGCGAAAAGCACGCGTGTTTACAATGTTTACAATGAAAATAATGGGATATTTATAAGGGCATTCCAGTGAAAGCTTTGGAACTCGAAATACTGGTGACGGACCGGGGCAGTGCCATACAAAAGCTCAAGCTCTGCGAGGATAAGCTTTAGCGTAGTTCAAAACACTTAACCCATGCTAACCAAGGAGCTTCCCCATCAGAAGCGAATACACCTTCCAAGTAGAGTCGCCTTTTGTTGCAATAGCTGGCCAAAAAGAATTATTTATTTTATGTATTATTACTAATTAGAGAGATGAATGCATATGACTAAGGATACATAAGTAGAGATAGATAATCGATTTTAAAGTAAAGTCTAGGGAAGTTTCTTAAACTTCAACAGGCACTCGTACAGCGTCAGCTGGCGAGTCTCGGGCATCAGCATGAAGACCAGCAGCCCGAAGACGAAGCTCAGGCCACCAAAGGTGAAGAAGAATACCGAGTCCCGCAAGCTGTGCTCGAAAGCAGCCGCCATGAGGCCCAGGTGCAGGGCCTGCTCCACGATGAGGACGCCGGCCAAGCACCTTGCCTTGTGCGCCACGCTGAAGGCCTCGCCCGTGTAGACCAGGGCGGGCACGGCTACGCCTGCAGCTACAATTAGCTCGAAGAGCAGCATGAGCAGGGCAATCGCTTGCAGGTTGATGTCGTAGTAGGTCTTCTTGACGGCCTCCAGATGCTCGAAGACGCCGCCCACGATGACGATGACAATGCCCGCCACAAAGAGCGACAGCGAGCACAGCTTGCGGCGCCCCTGCCAATCCACCAGCAAAGCGCCGCCCAGGCTGCCCAGCAGGCCACAGAAGGCCAGCCAGTACAGGCAGTTCATGTCGCACTCGAGTCCGTGCCAGCTGACCACCAGGAAGGCGCGGTTGTAGGGCAACGAGAGCGCCAGTGCCGCGAAGCAGCGCAGGAAGAGCACCTTGAGTAGCGGCAGCAGACGGCGCGACCAACGCTGCCAGCCGGAGTCGAGCGAGCCATCCGTGAATCGCTCCCAGTCGCTGGAGTTGTGCAGCTGGTGGCAGTCCTCGCGCAGGCGCATGAGCTCCGTGCCGGACTGCGCATGGCCGTTGAGCTGCTTGAGCGTGTCGCTGACCGCCATGTCCCGCTCCTGGCGCAACAGCAACAGCGGCGACTCCAGCCGATATGACAGGGACAGTATGACCGCCGCCACGCCCAAGGCGGCCAGCAGGATGCCGTGCAGCTGATCAATGTGCATCGTGTAGCCCCTCTCCACGGGCTCCAGGGTGTACCAGAGGCGCGTGTAGAACACCTGCACGCAGACGCCCAGCCACAGGAAGATGCGCTCGCAGCTGAGCAGCATGCCGCGTATGGACTTGTTGGCCATCTCCGAGCCCGTGACCAGGGCCTGCACCTGGGTCAGGCCGTACGCGGCGCCCACGCTGACGCTGCTGTAGCAGGCGGGGATGAAGTGGCGCGGCAGGAGCAGATTCAGTATGCCAGCCACAAGCAGCAGGAATCCGCTGGAGGTCTGCAAGGACAGAGAGCCAAGTTAGTGTATCTGTGGTATATAATATCAATATGGAATATACAAAGAGCGACTGCTGTTTGCTCTATGGTACATCCTCGAATTCAGTTAGGCTAATGGCTAATGGCGAATACTAGTCCAAGTTTATCAGCTATTGGCAGTGAGATTAGTCGCTAATTGCGGGCGCAGCACTTACGTAGGCCACGTTTTTGGTAACGCGCTGCACAAACAGCGCCGCCAGCAGCGCACCGAAAGCGGCCCCAATGAACCAGCTCATCATCAGATTGTGGGTGCTGTAGCTGTTGAGGAACTTGCCCGCGGGCGTATCGAATATGGACCAGGCGAGTCGCATGCCGCTGCCCACGAACACCAGCGCAGCTGCAGGATATAGATATATCAGATATGGATGGGAATACTATTACTACTACTACTGATCGAGGTATTCCGCGACCTTACCCGCGGTCAGGGACTGAAACTGCAGGCGGTAGCGCCACAGCTTTCGCAGCCACGACAGTTTGCCCTCCTCCTCGATAGTCGGCAGAATGGGCATTGTGGAAGACTTGTCTGTCCTGTCCTATTTGAGCTGTGTACACTTTGGCCAAGATTGATTTATTTGCTGGTACGCACTGTCACTCGCAGGTATTTTTCGCGTTTGTATTCTGTTTATTCAGTTTGGGTTTTCTAGGTCTAGAAGTCATAGAACTTATCACTTATCACTGTTTTGACCGTTGCCGTCATTTTCACACACCGAGTTACATACTACGATTGATTTTACGATTTCTGATTTCTTCCGATTTTTCGCTTGCCCTCTGAGCGCTGGCCAGTTGCTGTTCGCCTGACCGACTGGTTGCCTGTGCAGTTGATAAACGGAAAGCGCTCACAGCAGTCGAGAGCGTCGAAGCCCCGATAAGATAAATGCCAAATACAAACGAACAAGCAAACGCACATAAGTTCTCGCCCGCTCGCTTATCAATATGATTACTGGATATAAATTAATTAAATTTGAATAGTAGGCGTCAGAAGCGGCAGCATGGACACAAATGCCAAAAGACTTCCAGGCTGTTTGTTTGCTGATATCAAGGTGAGCCTCGCATGCTCTACACTGAGCAAAATCATTTAAAATCATTTCTTATCATAAGTAAATAATTTAAATGTATCCCCATGCCATGTCCAGATGCCAAATTATATCAGTAATACTTAATAAAATTAATTGATATCTATGAACTTCCACTCACAGGTAACAAAATAATACACAAATAATTAACATTGGATTACCTCATGTAAGCTCTATTCAAAATGTGCCTTGTTATTCAGCAGATGTTGTTTTACTCCCTGCTGCTTGCTGTGGGCTCACCGTCCAGCAATAATCAGCAATCGGCATATTGTTTATCCATTCCGATTAATTCTGTCAAGTGCACTGATCACTCGCCGTGTATGCCAAGCTTATCAAAACCAATTGCAGTTCATGCAATAATGCATCGCGCCATTCAATTGGAGCACAGAATTTAACAAAATCAATTACAGACGCTTTACGCATTTATTGCACGTTCCATAAATAAATACAGAAAACTCTTTCAACGAATATTTTTCTTTACATGTCAAAAAGTCAATTGAGTTGATGCCCTTTTTCAAATGTTATAGATGCACGATAAATGTACATATACATATATGAAATCTTTATATTTTTACTTAAACTAGGCCATAGTCATTTTAAAGTCCGTATGTATACAATATTGTGTTATTATATGATAGCTATTTGTTTGTTGATATTCTTGTTATTTAGCAGACTCTGGATTGTAGATTCTTGATTCAAGGTTTTGATTAGAAGTTTCATACATTTATTATTGCAGTATCAATCGGCTTCATCTTATCTTTGCTCATTCTTGCAGTTAAACCTACATGAATATTGTATTTCTCTCTCTCTCTCTCTCTCTCTCTCTCTCTCTCTCTCTATTGCTATGTATCTCTCTGCCTTTCTATTTTCTGTTTATATTTTTATTGTTCTTTCTAGTTGGTTCTCTGCTCTTGAGTCATGTGTGTTTTATCGACTTTTATCAAAAAAGGGCAATACAATAATCAAACGCAAGTGCATGTTGTCTTAGGTATATATTTCTGTATACATTTATAATATATTAATATTTATAACTCGTCCTAATTAGGTATTACTGTCTGTCTGTCTGTCGTCTAGCGTAGACATAACAAATATTTATATTTGTCTTAGCAGATAAATGCTGTCAGAGATGCATAATCATTTGTTGATGGATTTCGCAATATTTGTACGTCATTCAACTGGCGATTGACAGTAAATATTTTGGCAATCGAACTCTTATCATTTGGTTTACGTCAAGCAAATAATTATAAATAAAATGGTATATATAAGTAAAATAATGAAGTTTTTCTTTACCAGGTTTAAAAACTGCACTTGTATTATCTTCTTTAGTCATGAGCGAGCACTAGATGCCAGAATTGGCCGCTGATTAGACACTTATTGCAAGAGTTTCGGATAATTGCAGGGTATTACAGCCGTTATCAGTCGTTCAATAAATATATGTATATAGGAATATGTGCAAAAGATGCTCCTTATAGAGCTACTACGTTTGCCTACATCTAGCTAATATTAAATGGCAAAAAGTCTTGGTGAGCCGACTGCTTCAGGAGAAGTCGCGAAACTTTTGCTGCGCCTGACGCAGCGTCAAGTAGTTGGTCTCTGGCAGATACCAGTGGCCGAACAAAAAGCCCAGCAGCGTAAACACGCCAAGGCCGTAGAAGTAGATGCAGTTGGTGTGCACATTGAGCTCCACGTAGCACACGGCTAGCTGAATACTTAGCTCTACGATATAGGCGATGGCGATGCACATGCGCTTCACGGACAGCGGGAAGGCCTCCGATAAGTAGACCGAGCTGGGCGCGAATCCGAGGCCGGCAAAGAACTGGAATATCAAGAGCATCCACACAGCCTTCCTCAAGTCTGGCAGTCTAACGAAGTCCGCACTCGAGAACCTGGTGGCCAGTCCAATAGATGCAGCCCCACATATCATGAAGCCAATCAGCTGAGTCAGCTTCCGGCCAAGCGTGTCCTGGACAAAGGCGCCGCTGCAGCTGCCCGCCAGCCGTAGCAGGCCAAAGAGCACGTACGGACCGCTACTGAGTCCATAGACACTGGTGCTGGCCAGCGTGAGCGTAAAGACGATCAGCATGCTCGTGCTCATGGCGTAGAGTGCACGGAGCAGGCAGAGACGCAACAGAGCGGGCAGTGCTTGGCACCAAGCCTCAGTACTGCGCAGTGAATTGTTTTGGGCTACGTAGGCGCTGTGCTCAGTCATTTGATCGCTGGTTTCCACCGTCATGGTTTTGGGATATTGAAGGCGGATCAGTGCATCGATGGCTAGCTCCTGCTCGCCCTGGATCAGCAGCTGCACTGGCGACTCCACAATGAATACGGTGGCCAGGAAGAGTGCAATGGCCCCATAAATGGTACAGAGCACGCCCTGCAGCTGGTCCGCCGTCAGATCATAGTCCGGGCTCCAGCTGACGCTGAACACGATCTGCATGAATATGCCCAGGGTGCAGCTCAGCTGCTCTGTGGCGGACACGTAGGTTCCACGCTTGTAAAAAACCACCAACTCGCCACCTGTGGACAAGGTGGCGGGCAGCGCGAGTCCATTGGCCAAGCCATTAAGGTAACGCGCAGCCATCATGGCGTCCACATTCAGCTGCGTCGCAGTAAATAGAATGCCGCCAACAATGGTGAGCAGGCAGCAGAGTTGCTGAAGGAAATGATACGCTTATCAGTTAGATTATCTACATGTGCAACCAGCTATTATACGTACCATTAGCAATTTGTAGGTGAGGCACCTGGAGAATACAACGCCGAGCACGGATCCGATGATAGCCCCGATGAACCAAGAAATCCGTAGATGCATACAGATTACTATTTCGTCTGCCAGATTGTCGAAGCCTATGCTCCAGGCTATGTTCATGCCGCCCGACAGGAAGATTAAAGCAGCTATGAAATAAATGCATCAGATATGACAATGACTTTATCGACTGAAGTTTCATTCTACAAGGAACTTAAAAATCACCTTCTGACTATGTAATTATAACAGATAGATATTTAGGATACAAAAAAAAATGTTTGGGATTTGATAGCGGACTCTTTCAGTGTAAGGACAAAACTATAATTATTAATATTCGAAATAGATAAAAATCTTGGTTATAAATTATACAATTTGTGTTGCTTTATGAGTCATCAAAATTTTTGTATTCTTATCAATGCAAGTATCTGAATGTCACTTCAAAAAACCACAAAAATAATGAGTAGCCTCGAAATTCATGGAAATATTTCCGTCCTATGAACTTGTTTAATGATTTAAGACTTACCAGCGCCCAAGGCATTCGCCTGAGGCTGATTGCGCATATCACGAATGCAACAGCTGGTTGGCTGTTCATAGAGTATTTGGCGTCGCGGAGGAGACTCCCGAGCTGATGGCTCGGGCAGTGGCGAGTAGCCCACGGTGGACTGTGACATCGTTCGGTGATATTCATTCTTTTGTTCCATGTCTATTGTGTGTACGTCCTTCTATGTCGAGGCACAAGAGAACACTACACGATCCGAAATATCAAAATATTTTCGACTCCGGAGCGAACAGGTTTCGGTGTTACTTATCCATTGGTAAACGTTTCTTATCGCACTGATTGACAAATGCTAAGAGTCCATACATAGAATCAGCGGCCACCGTTATCGCAACAACCACAGCGCAACCCTTCAGCCAGTGACTTATCTATCCATGTTTGTATTGAGTTTTGAGTACATTCGATAGATAGCAAATGTTTCTCTTTGTGAACATAGGTAAATTCGCTTTTGTACAGGTGAACACCTGGAAAAAAGAGAAAGTTTTTGGAATGAGCTCTATATCAGAAAAAAGTGCGGTGAGACTTTTATACTGATTATACAAATATTTATTTATATATCAACCCGTTTGCTACTTTGGCATTTCCTCGCTCTGTCCAAAGAATTTTTTTACACTCACAGTATTATATATGCTATTTGGCTATTGTTTTCATAAACAACTCTGACTCACTGTTTGTTTATTACCAATTTAAAATGGATTTTTCGACCTTCTACAGATATACAAAGTCATATTCTCAAGATAAAATGTATTTTTTTTAGTTTATCTGGCTTATTATTCTGGGCCTTGATAGGGTTTGCAGTCGTTTGCATACGTACATAGTGTTTGGGAATAGTAAAATGCCATGTGTAAATGGTTTCTTGTCACCTTGCAAAAAAAAACAACATATTTTTTCAATTTTAAAGAAAATCGATTTAAGTAAAAATATTGCGTTTTAAATAAAAAATCAAAAAATGTTCATTGATTGAGCTTGCCTTCATAACATAATATAACGTAGTGGAAACTGCTTCACATTAATACTAAATCTTAGCACATGCCAAGTTAGCGGTAGTTTTAATCTAGAGCTTCTCGATCTTGCATGCCGATAGAACTGAATTTGACATAGAGCTCCCACTTCGAACTGATCAAAGTGCATGAAAAGACGTTTATATTGCTTGTGATAATAGTTAAGAACAAGTAAGAAAGCTCCTGTCGGGAGTATCCGACTTGGACATATGCTCCAGCGTGCCTAGATATGCTATTCCAAACAGAACATATATGATATGGGATCAGTTCGAGAAGTTCTAAAGGGCTTAGAATATGAACGTGGCTGTATTGAATGTATTGAGAGCGCTTGGTAAGCAAAGCTTTGCATAAGCTTTTAGAGTCCGACCACATAGTGAGTGCCCTGCCAGCTGTGAAAAACCGTTACATTTACCAGGCAAAGCTGCGGATCCCTTTTGACTGAGATTTGCCAAAATATATATGAGCATTCGCAAAGCTTTTCAGATATAGAGCAACAGACAAGTTGCCAAATCATGAAACGTGTTTGAGTTTACCATTTGCTTAAGCCATGTCCTGGGACACTGTTTCCAATATAAGAATCCAAATGTGTTACTTGATAAATCTACCATATGCTATTGAAATCAGATAAATATATTTAGTTAATAAATATGTACAGAATAGGTATACATACAATAGACTGGAGTATGCATGCGCAATAAGCTTATCTACATTAATAGTGCAATATAAATTATAAAGCTGATTAGATAAATACTGATTAGATATGCCACAAATTGCTCGTCAAATGTTTTTAGGGGAATTTGCTCGTACAATTAATGGTTCAGGCAATCTAAGCTGCCTTCGGCTTCTGCATGGTTAAAGCAACCACTGAAGGTGCTCTGAGGCGCTGGTGGTTGTTGTTGTGGGTGGGCGTTCCTCGGCGTACCTCTGTTAAGGTAGGGTAGGGTTGCAAATCAATGGCGCGGACTTTCTGTCTCCCTTGCCTGGAGGTTGATGATCCGGTTCTGCCCAAAGGAGCCCACTTCAGTGGCTCTAATAATAAATATTTGTCGTCTGGCATTTCGCTCGGAATCGGCAATAGAGTTTAAGAGTTAGCTCTATGAAACTAACAGCAGCGCGTCCATACCTACTTTTTGTTGATATCAAATGATACCAAATAAAATATTACCTTTTTATGCGATTCGTAAGTGTCGAATCCCACTGGACACGGACCGTATTTTATGACCCCATATCACTTTCTCTGATGGCTGGGGATTACCCACTAATAAATATTAGTCTTTCCCGTGAAGAGCTAGGCGACGCGATATTTGTAGATGTTGATTCATAGTATATAAATATGTATATATAGATACAACCATAATTTCATTATAATAGCTAGTATTTGGGATGATTAAATTAATTAGTTTTTATTTTTGAAGCGTAAAAGTTCGTATTACAGATAATGTTAGATTTTGTTGCTTAAATGGACAGCCCGTTAAAAGCCCTTGCTCAGGAAACCCTTGAATTTTTCCTGTGACTCACGTAGTGTAGTACGCCGGGTCTCTGGCAGACACCAGATACCGAGCAGAAAGCCAAGCAAGCAAAGTCCAGCCAAAATGGAAAAGTAAAGCCCAAGACCTGTCTGGCTGTAGGTAGCAGATGAGGTGATAATATAGATCAGCATTTCGACAATGAAGGTGAAGGCAATGAATGGCTGCTTGACGCCAAGTGGAAACGCTTCAGTCAGATAGGCTGAGGTGCCCGAGAATGCAATGCCAGCAAAAACTTGGAAAATACACACGATGATAAATAAGGTATCCCTGTCTATGTAGGGTAGGTCATAGATTAGTTGGGCAATTCCAATGGCCATGCCACCGCAGCCCAGGAGACCCAGAAGCGTTAGTTTCTTGCGGCCCGCCGACTCCACGCATAAGCTGGTGATGAAGGTTGGCAGCCAGCGACAGGCGCTGTATACTACGTATTGCCAGGTAAGTGTGTATAGCGATATATATATATGCGGCTGGGACATTACTAGGGCGTAAAACACAAATACAGAAAGGCTCATGGCATTAAGGGCCCGTAGATAGCAGAGACGCAACAAGGCTGGCATGGCCTGGACAATGCTCTGGCCAGTGGAGAGCTCTGCGTTTTGTGCCAGATAACGCTTGTGCTCCTCCAGCTGCACGAAAGTCTCTGTGGTCATCGTGTAGGGGCGCTGCAGGCGGCGCAGTGCATCAAGAGCTTGCCGCTCGTTTCCATTGGCCAGCAATATCACTGGCGACTCAATGCACAGCAAGCAGGCAACGATTAGGCCAATCAATCCATAGACAGCGGACAGGACTCCGTGCATATTCTCGCCATTGAAGCTGCTGCTGTTCGATGTGTTCCACGATGTCATATATATGACCTGAATGAAGAAACCAGACATGTAGCATATCTGCTCAATGCTCGAAGCCGTCACTCCACGCATGTAAGGCACTGAGACCTCGCCGGTCAATGCCAAGGCTGGGGCGAACGCTAATCCATTGGCGATACCATCCAGATAGAGGCTCGCCTCAATGGCTCTGATGTTGTTAGTCGTGGCTGCCATTAGGACTCCCCCGATCATCACAAGAAGTGAGCAGAAGCACTGAAGAAGAGGAAAGTGAGGTTGCATTTGAAAATTCGGGCCATGATGCGGGCATGCTTACAAAGACAATTTTCTTGGGTAACTTGTTAGCCACGAAGCAGCTAAGCAGGCCTCCGATGATGGCGCCTATAAACCATGCAACGCGCGTGTGCAGAGGAGCAAAAGAAAAATACCAACTTTGAAAGCCAATGCTCCAGGCAATGTTCATACCACCCGAAACGAAGATGAGCGCAGCTGAAGATAGAGAAAATTATATTTAGTAATTGATTTGCGGGCATTAATGGCTAGCTGAAAAGCCCACAATCAGGTTAGCCAAGCGCAAGGTAGATTGGCACTGTACATCTTATCTAGAGCACTTATTTTTATGGCCACCTGACTAATTTCAGATGATTCAGCCGTACGTACCAGCTCCCACAGCATTGGACTGTGGCTTGTTCCGCTGGTTTCGGTTGTACCAGCCATTGGGCTGCACTGTTATTATGATGGTTGACATCTGTGGTGGGCTTGCTCCGTAGTTTTGTGGTGGAGTGGGTCCATAGGCGTGTGGTGGCGGTGCTGGTCCATAGCTCTGCGGAGGCGTCGCTCCATAGCTTTGTGGCGGTGCAAAGCTCGGAGGTAGCTGTGCGCTACTCTGCGCAGGATATCCTGGTTGGGGGTATGCTTGCTGTGGGTACCCGTGCGGTGGGTATCCTTGAGGCAGATACAATTGCTGGGGATAACCTTGTGGGGGGTAGTTCTGCGACCCATCGGTTGGCGCTGACGCAAAGCCATACGCTGGTGGTTGGGGTGGCATATGTTTATCGTTCATGTCGCTATTGATGAACCAGCCTCAACTGCTTCGGATCACTGGCATTTGGCAACTGAAAGCTCAAGTCCATGGTCAGGCATTTTTTGTAAAGTTTTTGACGAATTCGACACGCGGGACTTGATATGCGCTTATCGCTGTGCTGATAAGCCTCACCCGGAATCACAGTCGAACCCTAAACGTGTATTGGTGACAGCTCGCCTATCACATTGTTCATATAAAATAGCAAATGCGGGTTAGACATAAATATAATACCACCTTTGTGTAACCACGTTCAAGTATAAATCAAACACTTAAAATTTCGCAAATTTTATAAAAGTTCTTATCTGCTTTATTATATGAGACAATTAAAAGAGAACCTAACGAAACACATATTTGGTCGACTAAGCGATTTTTCTAATCAAATTTGACTGAGTCATGCTATGGGAAAAATCCCCTTTTTTATATAAAAACGAGCTCTTCTCAGTGATAGCAGCTAAGAGCTACGATCAAACTCGCTCACAGTAGGAGCTCTATAAAAATCTAAGTTCGCCCGAGTGGTGCCCCGGCTGGAGCTACTCCATTTGTGGCAAGGTGCTGCGCTGCTTGAACGTTTCCCAATTGCACCCCCTGAAGCAGCTGGGGGTGCGCTATTTGCTGATCTACAGTGCGAGATGCTGTCCATACGCCGTCGACAGTGGAAGAAGATACAGCTTCAGCAACTCATCAATCAGCATCTCGAACAGCAGCATCAGGCCAGCAATAGGCCGCAGCAGCAACAGTGGCAACAGTAGCAACAGGGACAACATCAACAGCAACAGCGGCAAGCAAGCAACCGCAATAGGTATAGAGAACGGGAGCGCTTGGAAGATGTCGTT